CCCCCCCCCCCCCCGCACGCATCAACTGCTCCGTCGCCGAGAAAACGATGAATCACCCTGCTAGTTTTTTCGCTTCTAGAGGGGTGGGTGGCGTACCATGCAGTGGTGGTTTTCGAGCGGCGGGCGACCGTCCCTTCTGTTTTTGAAGGAACGCTTTCACGAGTAGTAACGAAGCGCGTTACATCGATTTTTGTTGAATATACTGAAACGACCACGGCCTCGGCGGTTAAGTGAGAAAACAAGTGCCGCTCACGCTGCAAGGGAGGGGGATCAAATCGTCGTTTGCTCGGTATTTTTATTTTGCCTCGAGCGAAACGGTCCTGCACCCTCTCCTTCGTTGCCGTTTGCCTCTTGTCCCAATCTATTGTTGTTGTTGATCTTGATGTTCTTGTCGTCCTTTGTTATTTTGATTACAAAACATCAAAATATGTATCCAGTAACAAAAAGCCCACCCTTGTTGTTGTTCCTGTTGGTTGTTTGTTTTCAATCCGACGAATCGCAACCGTTGATTGCCCCGCATCGCCCATATCCATCCTATACAACAACAAACTCTTTTCCTCAGGTGTGGGACGAGGAGAAGGAAAAGTTCTACGTCGCCGGCCACGAAGACGACTTGGAGTTCGAGAAGTTCTTCTGGCTCAGGATCCTCAACTCGCTCTGCGACCCAGGGTGCGTACCGTGTGCCTTGCCCGGCGTCGACTTGCCCTCCCCTGCGTGCGTTCGCGCCTCTCTGTTGTGCGTCTCCCACTGCTGCTGCTGCTGCTGCTGCTGCTGGCCGGCGGTGGTGATTCTCGGCAGATTCTTGTACGGTGTCCTTTCATCACCACAATAGTATGTAGTGGCACTTGGTGGTATCAATCATTCTGCCCGTTTTCTTCCCAACCCATCAGCGGCAGTAGGCGTCCGCTGGTTGGGTTGAAAACATCGTAGATGCGGCATGAAGGTGAATTATGCATGGATGAGATGGCCGCCCGCAGTACCCGTCAGTGGGGGTCCTAAGATTGCGAGAATGCCTGTATCAGCTCCCCCTCCCCCCTTGCGTGCTGTTTTTTTTTTTGGCAGGCACGTGGGAGAGTTGTACACGTCCTCGGCACCGTACGACCCCCTCTTCTGGGTCATTCACCCTACCGCCGAGAGGTTCATGGGGTGGCGGAGAAAACTCAGCGTTGAGCAACCCGACGTGTGAGTAAAGAAGCAAGCACCCCCCGCCGCCGCTGTTGCGAAGTTCAGGGGGAACACTACTGCAGCAACACCTTCGAGCCTAAGTAGTACAGATGTTCAATATTTAGTGCACGCGTGTATTTGTGCATGCACTTGTTTGGCTCTCTTTTCAGCATGGGATGCTGTTCAGAGGTATGTGTCGTACTTCCTCTTTGCCCCCGATACGCGAGGAGAGTTTCACGTACTTCTTACGACCCGAAAGGAAGGAAAAAGCTAGCAGCACCACCAAATGAGACGCGTCTGGCAAGACGTCTGAGCATGCGACAACAGCCTATATTCACGCACATGTTCGTGCACCTGGTTCATTCTTTTCTTGCGTGTCTGGAATTCCTACTGTGCCTCCGTTGTACAGGCACCCTCACGCCTCTGATAATGTTAGCGCTGCGCCGTCTGCCTTTCCTTGACAAGCTGTTGCCCCTTTGTTCTATTTCACGCGGCGCAAAACGCCGGCGTCAGACGGATTACCAACACACGCGACGCATTGCCTCACCCCCCTCCCCGCTCTACCTTTTTACAGACACCGTAACTTGACCTTGTTTGATGGCGCTTGATTTCCCTATTTTGCAAGGTGGCCGTTGGACGAAACGTGGGACTACTCGCACGGCTGGGTCGTGGGAGAGACTGGCACGGTATGCGACTGGGACGACGTCAGGGAAGGGTCGCTCGACATGCCCACGTGCAGGAAGGGCATCTGCGGGGGCCACGGGGCGGACGACATGCTTCCCTTCAAAGTCAAGGTGTGTGTACGTGTGTGTGTGCGTCTTGAATTGACATCGACGGCGCTAGCTGGCGTCAGTCCTTGAGGCTGGATGGAACAAAATGCGAGCACGCTGACATGGCGTTCTTTTTTCGACCGTCCCTCGTACAGAGCGAGATGCGTAAGCGCATGCATCCTCACTGTAAGAGACACTGATTCACGATAATGCCGAACTGCTGTATTCTCTGTGTAACATTGTCACAATTGCAGCGTTTTTGTTTTGTTCAAGTGACGAAACCGAACATTGCAGCAAGTGACGAAATATCTGCCGATCCTAATCAATGTGCTGTGCTTCCATCTCTCTCTGTCTCTCTGTGTGTGTCTTGTACGTGCCTCTGATGTCTCGAAACATGCCGTGTCTATCACCTTTGTTGCTGGTCGCTCAGGTCAAGGGCGAGACGGTGCAGATGACCAACCTGCAGTGGTACCAGTTCATCTACCCGGACAACGACGACCTGCCGTACATGTACAACGAGTACCAATGGGACCACTGCGCGTGAGTACCTCTTGTTTTTTTCGCCCCTGTCAGCCACCCGAAACGATTGATAGGGTAGGGAAGAAACGTTTTTGAACCCTCATCTATTGTATAACCGTTGGCAAAGTATGAAGGATTCACAGCCCGCAAGCAAACCATGACGCCCCCCCCCCCCCCCCCCCCCCCCCCCCCCCCCCCCCCCCCCNACTCCCCCAAGCAGACAGGACACCATCCCCCCCCCCCCCCCCCCCCCCCCCCCCCCCCACGCCCCCTCCCCGTTGTCGGCTCACTCGCTCACTTCCTCAGCTCCTCCGGCAACTACATGGGCACAAACCAAGACGGGGCGTGAAGGAGAACCACCGTATGCGGGCATTACCTGCCTGTTCTCTTTTAACTTTCTTTCCTCGGGTTGTCTTGACGAGGACACCCGTTCGTAGATCCCCTCCAATACCGGTTCGGTCGGAGTTCCCCTCAAGTCCCGAAGTGGAGGCTGCGGACCCAGCGCCCCCCCCGCTGTTCGAATCACCACGTGGTGGAACGCATTTTGACTGATTGGGGGGTTGTCCCTGGTTGACCTGACCCCCTGGGGGTGCTCTCAGCGGTCTTGACTGTGTGTGAATTGTTCATTCTCGCTTGTTTTTGTCGCTGGTTTCGTTGAAGTTGTGTCGTTATTTGGTCGGTGTTTTTTTTTTTGGTATTTAGCGTTTTTCATTTCCTGATGTAGCATCATGTGCTTGTCGTTGACGGCAAAGAAGCCGCAGGCAGTCTCTCGAGATTGAGCCGCGCGTCCCGAGGGTTTTCGGAAAAATAAATTCGTTCCCAACAAGAACGAGTGGCTGACTTTGCAGCAGTGTACCATCAGGACGTAGCAGTGTGGGGAAGAGTCGCGTAGTTTCTCCCGATACGTTTTCAAGGGAGTCCTGGATGCGGAACCTGAAACAGTAGAGGGCCCTCAGTAGCGCTGGTCGAAAAGCGCCTAGCCCGGCATATGTAGTGACGGTTACATCTCTGTGGGCACGAGTGTCCACTCTTGTACTAAAACCTATATATCCCTGTTCTGAATAGTATCGGTGAAGTGGTCTGGTCCATGCCGGCACTGCTGAGGGCCCTCGGCTGTACCCCTTCCCACGGGATTTTGACCGCCGTGCTCGCGAACGGTCGCATGTTGACCAGGAAAGTGGATGTACATGTGAGAAAGGACTGGTCAGCTCGCACTCTGCTGCGCCATGTTTTCATGCCTTCTTCCATACCGAAGACGTGTCTTGCCGTTCTGAAAGATGGCGTTTCGAGGGCTAAGAGGTGTGCTTTACATTGTTCGCACGCTCTTCTTTTCTTCGTTATTTTTGGGTGTAGGCGTGTCGTCACAGAGGCTATGGTCCACTCACTCAGAGGTTGAGCATGCAGTAAGGCTGCCGTTTCTCGTTCGTGGCGTGATTCGTGGGGCATTCATCAAAGCCTAGACTTGAGGTGGTAAGGCATTCATCATGGTCAAGGTTCGTTTGTTATTTTTTGGGGAGACTACCCTCGCATCGGCGGGGGTTGAATGATGCAACCACGTAAGGCGAGGTGACCGTAGTGATGTAACTACAAAGGGCAAGTTGACCGTACTAGGCCTCTTGAATCCACACCTCTTGCCGCTCTGGAAGCGCGAACGGGTTATTGGGTCGGACGATGAAGATGGTGGCGGTCAGTTTCGCATGGGTGTGAGCGGCGGGCGGAGTTTTTCTTTCCGTTGTACGCGGTTCGTGTTCGGGAGACTCTTGGCAGAGGGTTTGTCGCTCAGGGGAGTTAGTTGGAGAATTTGCGTATATATAGGTTGCATCGTGTATCCGTGTGAAGGGATGTCGATACATGTGTATGTGGCCGATTTCGTCAGGGGCACTGGGAAAGATGGGACCGGCCGAGTGCGGTGTCCGCGCGGGACCTCACAATGCCCGTGGGTGGGTGTGTCCATGTTTTTCAAGTTCAGACATGTGCCGCATGCAAAATTTAAGATGCTCATTTCGCAGCTAGCCGTATTTTCGTGGTCGACTTGTGTCGAATATGCGTTTGTATGGTTAGTTTCTTTGTCGCTGTCCGGGTGGTTGAGTGAGTTCGCGTTGTGTTTCCTCATTGTGTTGCTCTCTGGTTCTTAATGCTCATCGTCGAGAACAGGCGGGCGGTGAACGGTGGGTGGGTTTCCCCCGTAGTTGGGTGGGAGGCCTTTGAGCGAGGACAGGGGTGATGGTGATGGTGTGGTGGTTTGTGTTGAGGTACATGCATAGGTGAGAGAGTCGAGTACCTTTCACAAATAAATGCACGTGTTTCGCGTCGTGAGCATGAGACTTGCCGCCGTTGCGTACCAAAAAAATCTTGGGTGGTACATTCAGCAGCGTGTGATGCGTTTTATTTTGTATTGGTCGCAAGGGTACTTCGGCGTTGGGGTGAGTGGGAAGGGACGCGCTCGCCGCCGTTTCAGGTGGTATTCGACACGATGATGGCGTTTGGAAGCTATCAAACTTTTCATGTCGAACAGCAGTACTGCTGTGGCGTTTCGTGTCGGCTTCACACGATGATACCCGACTGTCCAATGAGAAAACTTTCCAGCTATTCGTGCCGTCTTCACACGATATTTTACCCGAAAAGAGGAGAGCACACATTCTCAGCTGCCAAATGGAGAAAGTGATTTGCGGCGTTGCTCATTCGTCGTTACATGCATCTGGGAGTCTCCGCGTGGAAAAGCAGAACCAAACCGCCCGCCGCCCCTGCGACCGAGGGGGGCGGAGGAGATTCCGTTAGTTGGACCCGCGTGTTCACGCGCGTTCGGGGAATGTCTGACCCAACGGCCAGATCCGCTGGCACAAAGTGATGGGCACGGACTGCATCATAGCTTCATCAATCAGCAACTTTGTATGCTGCGTGGTTTGATTTGAGACCCAGTCTCCGGCTTGTTGCGTCTACACACATCACACACGCAACAAGCCGGGTAGCGCAGTCGATGCTGTGCATATTACGGGTTACGCACGTGAAGGCACACGGGCACACAGCAGCATCGTCACTTCTGTTTGTTCTGCTGCCGATCGAAATATATCACTGAAATATATCAACATCCATCCTCTTGTTGGTCAGCGCACAGGCGGACTGTCAAAACCAGGGGGTGCGGATCGCCTAGCAGGGAGCAGGGAGCGCCACAGGCGGGCGCGCTCCAGACTCCGGACCGAGGATGCATTCAAAGAAGTCTTCTATGGCTGTGGGTGAGAGCTCTCCCGCTCAGGAAATAGTTCTTTCCTGAGCGGGAGAGCTCTCACCCACAGCCATAGAAGACTTCTTTGAATGCATCCTCGGTCCGGAGTCTGGAGCGCGCCCGCCTGNCGTCCGGAGTCTGGTCTGTCTGGCTGTGGGTGAGAGCTCTCCCGCTCAGGAAAGGCAGGGCAGCGACATGTGCAACACGCTGCCAAATTTGAAGCGATCGTGAACTGGCGTGCCGGCCTGATGATTTACCACATTCCGAATGCGGCAACTTTGCATGTGGGTGAACGACGACGCCTTTCACGTGATCACGCGATGCATTCGTGTCAGTAGGCGGTCCGCCGTCCGCCGTCACGGTTCACGGTGTTGCACAGAAAGAGTTAATGCACACACGCGCACGCAGGCACGCCATCAACCAAGCTATCACGCCCTTCAGACCCTTTCCGTGGTCGACGGATTGGGTAAACCGTAAACAAGGGCCGTGGCTTCGGCCATGATTAGAGTAGAATGGGAGCAACAGCAGTCATTGTCGATACCTGGGTTTGTTTGTTGCGGCTTTCTCATGCCGAGATGCACGACAGGCCCATGGGAGCAACATTTGTTGCATATATCTCGTTTGGATGCGCCTCTGTGATGCCTGGCAGACCCATGGCAGCAGCATGCTGATGCCCCAGAAGCGCAAAGCTTCACGTCCACGAACGAGTATCCGCCGATCAAAGACGCGCACACCGCGGAGCCATGTCGAGATACGACATTCACAGCGTTCGAGATCTAGCATCGGGAATCCTGCCACGGATGACTTCCAGTGGTCATTCCAATGCGGAACTGTCCTCGAAGGGAGGTGAGTTTTAGAACGAGCGTGTGCAGTCGCGCGGATAGATACGTCCACCCAACACCCGTTTCGGAACAGAAGGAACAACAGCTGAGCCTCGCTTGTTGGTCGAATCATTCCTGCACGTTTCAGTCGTTGTTGTAATATTATTATAGTCTAGTAGGCAAACTACAGCAGTACATGCATAGACGATGTTCTCCTCGCTTTGCTCCGCAATTTCATCACTTCCACCAATAA